GGGGAAAGTGGTAACACGAGGATTCTAGCTTGTAGGATAGGTTGAGGAAACAAAGAAGTATGAGAGTGCTCCAGATTGTATGTAAGATTTGTATCTGTTTGTGTGTGTTCAAAAAGCTAACTTTGGGTGAGTCGCCCTCCAGTGGCAGGCTGTGGTATTAAACACTGACAATTGTTTCACAGGAGTTTTTTTTTATCAGCCCAAAGTAAGCGATCTCCTCTGCTGGACGAGGACCCCGCTCTGGTTAGCAAGTTGCTGTGAGCAGGACCCACTTCCATGGCCAGTGAGTAAATAATTCACATTCCTATACATACACTTGCAGACATTCTGAACTCTGCTATTGCTTTCCTTCCACATTGGTTATCGACCGGGACTCCACGCAAGAATCAAGATAGCCCACGACCTTTGTTGACGCCCCCCACCTCAACGACGAGACCCCTTTAACATACCACCAGAAGTGTGCCACCACCTCACCTCTCATCACATGTAAGTGTTCTACATCTCCTCCACCACCACCTCACATCTACACACCCTGACCCACCTATTGTCCTCGAATTTTCCCCATCCACACATTTGGCCCCAGGTGTTCGCGCTCCTGCTCTCTCCCCGGTCTAACAAAAAGGAGCAGCACACTGGCCACCATCCACCACACCACCCTAAGAGTGTGCTAAGCAATCAGTCATAACCAGAACTTTCTCCCCCTTCCCTGGCTACCACCTTAGGCAAAAAGCAATGTTTTGGTCTGATAATGACCTTATCGTTGTGAAGAACAAGGGACGGAGCTTTACACAAAAGCAGAGGCAGCCCAAAACACTCCTAGGAGAGGGAGGAACACGACCTTGTGCTTAAAGTGTATTTCCACTTACGCAGTCAGATTGGGATAACACCTATTTTATGTTCGTTACATCTTCCCAGTCACATAGCATAAGCTAAAAATACATAGAAAATGCTTCTTGCCGTTTAGATTGTTTTAATGTGTTTAAAGGTTTCAAGGGTTAACATTTCTTCTAGCTTCTATTTCTTTGAAATGTTAGAAGGGGCTGTGAGGGATGAGGGCTCTAAGGTGGCTTGCCCTTTGTATGTTAATGAAGCTTCTGAGATAAACACAAACCTCACATTTCATTCCCAGGTCTTTCTATAAGAACAGACGGCTGTGGAAGGGATAAGAAAAACCTGGAATCAGCCATCTTGCCGGATTTAACAAAACATCTTTTTTTCCCAGCATGCTGTGTAAATAGGAACACAGAAACATGGAGGGTTTTCTCAGATTTGACTGCAAAAGTGGAAATACGCTTTAAGGTCTGGTAATGAGATGTCCCAGATAGGCTCAAAAGGAGCCCACTGGAGACACAAAAAGCTCTGTATTGGCATCCACTTGAGTGTGCCTAGGAGGAGCCACAAGAGCGCCCCCCTGAACAAAAGCCTTTATCAAAGGATAATAGGTCAAGGGTCACCGGAAAAGGATGATAATGCCAACATCTTCCCCTTGAGAATACTCAGGACCAACTGTTGATCCAACCCTGATTGGAGAAGGGTTAATACACATCCCATGGAGTAGGTTTGAGGATAGATTTCTGCTGTTTGCACCAGGCAAATAAGCCCTCTTGGTATGATGGTAGACCAGTGGTGGCGAACCTCGGCACTCCGGCTGTTTTGGAACTACAAGTCCCATGAGGCATTGCAAGGCTCTGACAGCCACTGACATAACTCCCAGAGGCAGATGCATGTTGGGATTTGTAGTTTTGGCACAGCTGGTTCGCCACCACTGTGGTAGACCTTACCATTTGAACAGATAGCCCACATGTTTTAGAAGTGGCCACAGAGAGTCTGCCAGCATCCTGTGGCTGTCCGAGGACCACAATCTGCTGGGCCAGTTTGGAGCCACAAAGATCACTGGAATACCCTCCAGCTCGATCCTGAGGATCAGACAACGAAGAATCTTTGACAGAGGGAAAGCAAAGATCAGGGAGAACTGATCCCACAGTCACCAGTACATGCACTTTGAATGCTCTCGGACCTCTGGATCAAGATACAGACTTTTCCAATTTGGTGTTCAGCCTGGACCCCAAGAGATCTACATCCGACGTCCCCCAATAGTAATGGATCTCCTAAAACACTTTCAGGTATACAGACCATCCCCCCTTCTGCCTGTTAAGAACGCCCACCTGCCAACTGTGCACTTCCGTGATGTGTATGGCAGACACTACATTGTGCACCAGCCTTAATAGCTGATGCAGAGTGTTAGCCAAACCATCCGCACAAAAGCACAGTGCCTCCATCAAACCCACTGCCGGCTGTAAGGTAGGGCCAATTAGGGCAAAAGAAGCTTTAAAAAAACTATTAGGGTGCTTATCCATCAGGACTTTGAAGGTCAGGCCATCCTCCACTGGGGCAGTCAGAGAGATTGCAGCATCAACCTCCAGCATCGTCCACTTTTTGAGGAAGGATTCCACCAAGGGGTAGTGTTGCCCAAACCTTTTCGAGGGAGCAATCATTTTTTTTCAGGATGTTGCCACTCTGTGTAAAGCGCATCCTCTACTAAGGAGTGTGGCGGGCCCCAGTACTCAGGTATGTCCGCCGCTGTATTCTTCCTTGCCCAGGAGATATTGCACCCCGCTGATCTTTAGCTCTCAGTTTCCCCAGTCACTAGTCGGGACCGAGTGTAGGGTGAGACAAACTCTGATTTATCGAGCAACTATGCAACCTTTTATACAGAAAGTGATCAGATCAGAATATAATCCCATCACATCCCCCCTCCCCTCCCCCCCAGACATTATAAAGAGCATTTACAGTATAACATACTTACACATAACCCAACACCAATACACATATAACCCATAAACGGATGAGCATGTCGTCACAAGGAGTTCATGGGAAAGGTCTGGCAGGCCTCCTTAATACTGCTGACCTTAGGGAAATCCTGCACAGGCAGTTCAAGTGCTAGATGTTATTTAACCCTCGGAGGGTTAATGAGCACCTCAAATGGTGTCATGCATTTTTGCAACACAATCAGTAAAGGTAAATTCCCCAGAGGAGACATCCAAATTCCACAAGGTATGCACCTCTTCCTCCACGCTCCTTTCCTCCTCCTAATATGGCGTAAGCAATTGCCATGTCTAACAATGACTCAAAGGGAGACAGAAAAGTAATAGTTAGGGTCCCCATTGGTCCCTGCAACAAGTAAAGCAGTCTGCTCCAGGATACTAACAGATTTCCCCCCCCAAAAAAAAAAGACATGTCCAGGCTCCAGCACATGTCACTCAGCACATACTGTATGCCCACATTCGCTTCCGTGTCATCATCCACTTGGCCAAGCCCAGGCTACTGTTGGTGCTCCAAGGTCTACAAGATGGGCTCCTGCAGCCTCCACTATGCAGGTGAAGTAGCAGTTTAGTTTGAAGATGGATGTTGCCTGGTTACAGTGCAGTCACTAGCTAAGGAACCCCTGTAGTTCATAACAAGTGCCGACATGGTTGTGGCAAACAGCAAGGGAGAGGGCGAGCAGGGGGTTAGGGTTACGGAGGATTAATCTCTGGCTTGAAGGGCCTCACCTGAGAACAAAACGACCAAACCTTTTCTAATGGAAAAAACACCCGGCCGTGTCTATGTCTAGGAGAAGAGACATCATAACATAAGGACACTAGCAAAAAATACAAGGATTTTCTGGAGTGGGAGGAGTTATATGAGGGTCCTTACAACTCTGGCCAATCACCTGATGATACCCAGTGCTCTATGAACTGTCTGTGTCTTGTACATTATGATCAAGAAATACTTTTTGTCTTTTTGTTTCATCCTTTGTTGCATTGGAGTGTCGCCACTGACTACATATGTGCACTCCAGTAATGGCCGCATGTCACTTCTCAGAATGAGTTTCATGATGGTGAAAACCGTGGAACATGCCTAAAATTTGGTGACTCAAAACCACAGCTATGAAAAGGCTTCTGTGTGGCATTCCTAGTACTGGTCTGAGACAGGTATGTACTTCGCCACTGAGCCTGCACAAAGCACAACCATCACTTTCAGAACTTTTGAAATAAAGTTTTTATTTCATCTTAAATGACACATTTCTTGTGCTGTTCCCCTGCACCATTCACACCAGGAAAAAAAGATATTTCTGAAAATGCGCATGTGCATCGAACACAGGAAAAGACAGCTTGTGACTGCTGATCAGGAAGAAACCGAAGTAGAATATAGCATGACCCTGGCAGAGCCGGCAGCAAGTCTGCATGTGAAAACTGACAGTAAATCAGTGCTGTGTGTACAACCAACTGAAGGGCTGTCATCACTTGCAGAGAGAAGTGCAAGGACTGCTAACATGGCCCAATAGAGGATTCTGTAAAAGATGAGGACTTGCGCAAGGACACAACATTTAGCTTGAGGTTCAGAAGGAGCAGTGACACTTCCTTTTTTTAGACTGGTCTCATCCACAAGAGAAGGAAGTGAGCTTACTGCAGCTTCCTCTACAAATATTCCAATAATCCCTGACTAGCACCGCACAGTATACCTGCAGACAGCTGACATTACAAGAGCAGAGAGGCACGAGTCTCTTTTTGCCCCAATGATTTCAGCTGTTCAGTAAGCGGATTGTGGGGCCTTCCCCAGTTTTATCACTGCTTGAAGCACCCTGCAGAGTCAGAACACCCCACACGGTACCCCACAGACTGTATCCCTGCAAGCCGTGACTCACTACAGAAGGGGATGTGGTGTGTGTATAGCAGCACAGTGAATGCAGGAAGTGGTGAGCAGCAAACACGGCTTCATACAGGAAGTCACTGCAGTTGGGCCTGACGTGAAATATTACACAGTAACTAGTTTTAAAAGGACAACTCCACCTAAAATAACTTATCTCTGACAACACCATGTGCACCCAACTCCTGCTCCATCTGTACTGCACATAAAAGGACAATGGATGGAGGTTTTTACCCCAGAAGTGATGAGTTGGCAGTGCCGACCTCTGCTAGGCTACAATGATACACTCCTTCACTTAGTGGAAGACAAAAAAAAAAGAAATAAAGATTATTTAATCAGAGCCGTCCATAGCAGCAGGATAAGCAGAATGTCACAGGTAGAATGAAATGGACTTCCCAAACACAGAAAACCTACGAGAGCTTTGGAAAGGAGCACATCCAGAATGATTTGTAGTGCAGTTGTAGCCGGATCCTTCTTTAAGGTTGGCCTGCCTCATAGGAGAGGAGGAGGAGGCCTGTAGTCTGCAATGCACAATATTCTGTTGCCGCCTAAAGATGTCCCCACTTCTCCCGGGGTGGAAAATCTTCCACATCTCCCATCTCATCAAAGCTCTCATCTCCTTGTGTGTAGGTGAGTTAGAGGGAGAGAGGGAGGGGGGAGAGAGGGAGGAGGGGGGAGAGAGGGAGGGAGGGAGAGAGAGAGAGACACACACACACACAGGTTACACAGAATGATACAGATACATAAAGACGTGTTGTAATGTGTATGAAAATGTCAGATTTCTGTGGCTCTTCTGCATCATTCATCTCTCTGATAGGTGGCCATTCACCAATAAAAGTAGGAAAAGCCTAAGATGGGTCTGCTGGATTGATTCTTAATAGGCAGCGGGGGGGAGGGGGCCGGGGGTCCTCCTGTATCCTAAACTGGAGGCACTGTGCTTGATGATGGTGACAGTGTACCTTGTATCAGTTATAATACACCAGGCAGTGCTGACAGTGTACCTTGTATCAGTTATAATACACCAGGCAGTGCTGACAGTGTACCTTGTATCAGTTATAATACACCAGGCAGTGGTTACAGTGTACCTTGTATCAGTGATAATACACCAGGCAGTGGTGACAGTGTACCCTGTACTGGAGTCAATGGTTCAGGTGTTTTGCACAGTGGGGAAGTAGTGATAGTGCACCTTATAATGGATGATGAGTCAAGATGTAGTGATGGTGATTCTCATGTTAGTGGCACTGTATCTGATAAAGGTGGAGCTTAATTTCATTCAGATGAGAGGTCATTAGGTAGTGATGTCAATGTCATATGGATCGTACTGTACATTAGGATCCTGCAGTGTAAGGGTTAACCTTAAAGGCTAAGTTTACTTTTTGCAAAAATGAAAGAAATGCATATTTGATAATATAACAAAAAAAATGCATTTCTTTCATTCAAGCCTGGAAAGCCTTGCAACGGTGATCACTGCAGAGCTCAGGCTTCTGGCCTTCTCTCCCAGGCAGAGCTCCGTACTGGTGTACAGTTAAGGTCCCCTCACACCTTACGATAATGGCGGGAAATCCCGCGATCGTACGATTATCGTAAGGTGTGTGGAAACCGTGCGACCTCTACTACTGTGCGGGCGCACGACTTTAAACTTACGAACATGTTTGAAATCCCGCCGATCATCGTACGATGTTCGGCGGGTCTGCAGCATGTTCGTAAGGACGGGCCAGTTCGTCTTATATGCACATTTAGATTATTTTTTACGTAAATGCAAACGCCCCCCCACTTCAGGACGGCTGGATGCTGTATGACCTGTATGAGTCTAGCTGTACTTCCCCCATCTCTCCTAACTGAAACTCCGTACCTCAGTATGGAGCTCTGCCGGGGAGAGAAGGACAGAAGCCTGAGCTTTGCAGCCCTTATTGAGTGATCGCAGTTGCAAGGCTTTCCAAGCTTGAATACAAAAATGAAAGAAAAAGCATATTTTTTGTTATATTATCAAATATGCATTTCTTTCATTTTTGCAAAAGGTGAACTTAGCCTTTAAGGATCATCTTAGTAACTTACCTGGGTGGGGTTGGCCAGCAGCAGCACCTGAGTGATAGCAGTTGGGGGTAGAATGGGGTTGAATGCAGGAAGTTCGCTGCCAGTTGCTGGTTGCAATTTTACCTTCATTGCCTTTAAAAACAGAAAAAAAGATGAGATACTTGGAAAAAAGATGGGATGGGGGATGGGATGTTAGATTGCAATGTTAACAACCTTGGGCACAGCAGCCTGAAAACTAATTCCAGTGACGGAGAGAGGAGCTGTACTCAGCATGGAGATCACAACCACCAGGATATCAGGCCTGCCTGGAGGACTGTCCTGAGCAAAGTGGAAGAGGACCCGAAAGCTGCGTTGGTCATACACAGTGACTGGGAGGATGCAACCTAAAGACACAAAACAATATATGAGACACAGAAACCTCTTGTATGCAGAGTAATCCATTTGTATGGGGTCAGACAGACATTTCATATTTGAAGCACTCTTATGTAACTGGTCTGAGGAAGTCCAGAACACATTATCCAACATGACATGCTGATACATCAAAATACATTCCGTACTGGGTTTGATGGATTCCAGAGGTACAGTGACATTGGTGAGAGAGATGTCGTTCTTCACCGGGGACGGGGCTGGCTGTTCTACTCCAACAGAAGAAACGTTTCCCAGACCAGCGGGCGGCTGTGGAAGAGTAGAGCTCGTTTTACTCTGCAGATCTCTCAGTGTGGGCTTGTGTTGGGTTTTGTCCCTTAAAATAAAAAATAAAAATAGATGATCCGAAATTATATAACAGGATTTGTGACTTAGCAGTAAAATACAGTACAAGGCACAGGCAATTCATATACAACTGGGTACTATGGGGAAGGCACAGGCAATTCATATACAACTGGGTACTATGGGGAAGGCACAGGCAATTCATATACAACTGGGTACTATGGGGAAGGCACAGCCAGGGGGTCAAGGCACAGGCAAATCATATACAACTGGGTACTATGCCTGTATCACCAGGCGACTTGAACACAGTACAGAGCTGTGAGGACCCTCATCTAACCTCTCCTACTCCTGTGCCTACTCCAAGAAATGTTTTTTACTGTTCAGTCTATACAGTTCATGACACAGGCAGACTCCTAGACAACTGGGACATCCCCAACAATAGAACGGAGGGGTTGGCAACACAGCCAACAGGACCACAAAACAAAGGGGGAACCCCAATTTAGACAGCCGTCTATAGCACCTTACGGCCGAAACTAGGATCAACAGAGGCCCGAACACCCACCTGGGTAAAACGTGGTAAATCCAGGTGAGAACATTACAAATCTGAATAGCAGAGGCCTGATACCAAAAGGCCCACAGGGGTGCACAATCGCCGGATGCCAGGGACATGAAGTTCCGCCAGGCAGTTGTTTTTTTTCTACATTTAGCTCTGCTGTGGGCAAGCAGGGCTAAATGTAGAGCAGGGAAGCCACCACTTGTTTTGTTCAAGTGATCAGGGCGGCTGTACACCTGCCCAGATCACTTGTAGCAGCCTGCTATACTTACCATTCGGCAAACGGTCCTTCCCCTACACCGGTATGAGTGTACTATCTGTACCCCATACTGCCGTCCAGTGCAGCCCTGCACTATGGATTTTAAATTTCACTTGCACATTGTGAGCACTTATTGGTCAGCACAGTCACCTGACTGCTTCTTAGCACGGTTAAGTACGGTTTTGGTTAAAATGACTTTTTATATCACGTAGGGATGCAACAACTAAATCAATTATAATCGATAATGAGAATCGTTGGCAACGATTCTCATCATCGATTAGTTGCTGTCGCTCTGCTCCTCCATTCTCCTCCTCGCTGGTGCTGGCTGCAGCGGTCTGTGTCCCTTTCAAACCCTGCTGCTCTCCCCGCCTGTGTCGGCAGAGGCAGCGGGGACACAGACCACTGCAGCCGGCACCAGTGGGGAGGAGAGACCGCTGTGACTGCATTCCCCCGCTGCCCCCTGTACCTGCGCTGCCGCCCCGTTCCTCCTCTGCCCCGCCCCCAGGCCTCCTCTGCATCTACAGGCTGGGAGCCATACCCAGCCTGCTATTGGATATTTCAAAATTCAATAGCAGGCTGGCTATTGCACCCACCCACTGTCAATCAACAGAGGAGGACCTGATAGAGAACTTTCTCCAGAGAAGTAAAAAATAAAATAAGTTTAAAAAAAATAAAGTTAAACTAAAATAAAAAAGGCTACAAATTAAAAAAAGATTAATAAAAACAAATAAAAAACATGCAGGGGAGCCTTCTGCCGGGTTCTTCAGGAAGGACAAATTGACATTCCGATTCTCTAAACGAAACTGTTGCTGAGAAATAAACCTGGGACAGCTCAAACCACATCTAAGCAGTGGCGAGAGACCACACTGGAATAACAAAGAAAGGACACAGTCCTAATTAAGATGAAACAAGGACACCACCTGAGGCAGAAAGGCCTCCCTATGCCTGAGAACAACCTTATCACTGTGAAGAACAGGGAGCAGTTCCTTGCATGACCATGCAGCAATTCAGAAACTGACCTAGCAGAGGTGATAGCAGCAAAGAAAATCACCTTACATGTAAAATCTGTCTATGATATATCCCTGACAGGTTCAAAGGGAGCTAAATGGAGACATGAAAGTGCCAGACTAAATTCCCACAGCGCCCTTGTAGGGCACCTAGGTGATGACACGAGCGGCCCCTTGCATAAAGTCCTTTACCAGCAGATGCATGGGGCGATCTCTTCGGGTCAGCCGAACATGCTAAGCATGTTCGGCTGATCCGAATCCACACGAAGCGAGCCCATGTACGGCTGATTTCAGCCGATATACGTCTGAAATCAGCCGTACCAGCCTGAAGTGAATAGCCGAACAGTGTTCGGCTCACTTCACTTCTGATCGTCATTCACTCGGCTGCCCTCGGCAGCTTTGTGAATAGACCCCTAAGTCTATTTGTCCTACACAACAAGAATGCTCAGTTGCAGTGGTCTAGTGTGGAATAGGGCATATGGTGCTACCTCGAAGACCCAGGACCCTAATGCATAATCTTGCAGAGGGCTGGTCCTTGGCTTGTAGGGTCTGCAACTGCAAAGACAAAACTTTAATCAGAAGGCAGAAACATCTGGGCCTGGCTGTTTTCCAGGAGAAGACTAGACAGTGAGTGGGATCCGGCATCGATTCCTGGAGGTTCAGTATCTACCTGAAATACTGCAGCATTTGAATCATCTTGTGGATATCAGTCCTCAGATTCTATTTGAGCTGGAACTTCAGCAGGAGGTCATCCATGTGCCCCACAATGTGGACACCTTGAGATCACAAGGACAGTAGCTAAGACCTTTGGAAATAGTCGTGGGGCAGTGGAGGCCAAAGGGAAGTGCCACACATTTGAAGCACACTTCCCCCAAAGCAAAGCGCAGGAAGTGTTGATGAGGAGGGAAGATTGGTACACGCTGGTAGGCATCCTTGTTGTCCACCGAAGCAAGACAATGACAAAATGGGCCAATTCCTTTCAGAATTTGCGGATCCACATAAACTTGTTTAGAGACTTCTAATCCAGGATGTTCCCTTCCCCCGCTTGGTTTTGGAACTGTTAACATATTGGAGTAAAATCCTTTATCCTGGTCCCTCAGGAGAAGAGGTTCAATGACTTCTTTCCACTGGTGGGATGTGAGCAGATTGGAAGGCATAAATCAAGCATGGGGGGCTGGATATAAACTCGTTTGTAATCCTGGAAAACTGTTGTGTATCCAAAGATTCTGGATGTCTTGACTCCAAAGACCAACAGACATCCCCCCCACTTGTGACAGTGGAGATGCCATCTCATTTTAAGGTGGAATTAGGTAGGCCTTAAAGACATAGGGATCCAGGGCTTGTGTTTGAACTGGGAGCCCTGATTCGCTGTGGATGTAGACCCCTGGGAGGGATAAAAGGAGCTCTTTCTGGCCAAAGCGGAGGAAGACTCACTACGGGGAACCTTGGCCTTCCACTTGCTGGGTAAGTGTGTGCTCTTACCACAGCAATCTTCTTGAGGAAGGCGTCCAAATACTCTTCAAAGAGACAATCTCCCATAAAGGCAATCCTCCTCCAGGCGCATCTTGTAGGCCGGCAAGATGCAACAAATATAAAGTCGGTGTTAACCCAATTTGGCTGCAAACGTAGAAAAACACTTTAGGGGAATCCATAGCGGTGAACTTAGGGTGATCCTGCATAGAAGGTTCATTGGCTACACATTCTCTCTCCTCATCTATATGCATTGAAATGGTGTCATGCAATCTTTGGGGCAGAGTAGCAGTAGGCAGATCCTCCTAAGAGGAGACATCAGTCTGAGGAAGAATGCACATCTTCTTTCACACCTTCCGCCTCCTCCCCATCATCTGGCAATAAGGTAGTAGTCATGGTAGTGTCCGAAAGCGACTCTGAAGGGGAAAGAGAAGGGAACTATGCTTGTGCCCTCGATCATATCAGAGATCCATCCCAAAAAAAGTAATTGAGGTGGCAAAAAAAGGGATTATCAAGGTGTCAGCAGGCTCATCATGGAGGAAGATGTAGTTATCTCTGCAGGGAGCCTATTGTGTGAGGGAAGCAGTTCAGACTAAGTAGTGCCATCCAAACATGGCACACAAAATGTCTTCCCGAGAGTTCCATAAGTTTGGTAATAAGTCCCGCTGGTCCGTGTTCCATCCAGTGGGCATAGCTCTAGATAAGGCCATATGGAAGATCCATAGAGCAGTTCAGATGTTAGGTCAGGGACAAGATACAGTACTAGCCCAAATGGCAATTTAAAACCTTAATCCAGGCCAGGGTCCATAGTCAGTGGGTTAGAGTCAAGTGCCCAGGGCATGCATTTAAAGGGCCAGCAGCGCCTATGCCTAAGGCCAGGGGTACCCGGGAAGGGACAGGGTCAGAGACTCACCCACCAAGCAGCATCAGATTTCTGTACCAGGGAAGGGGGGCCCCTCTGACCCTCAGCTTTACTCACTGCAGTCAAGGTTAGCCCCAAGAGAGTCTTCAAGGTCGGGGTCACATCGTTGTGAATATACCACTGCCCTGGACCTGTAAAGCACTCTGTGTCTAACCCAATGTGCTTCACCATGTGCCAAGGTGGGTGTCTAATGCAGGTTTCAGTGAACGAAGCAATATTACAGGCCGGCCTTGTGTCTTCTATCCAGCGTGGTCTGGGTAAAGTCCCTGAGGCTGTTGCCTTGGCGCACTGATCTGGAAACTGTAAAGTCGCAGCTCTGGTCACATGGAGCCAGAGGAAAAAAATTGTTAGAAGAATCACAGTAACGAAGTAACTAGCTACACTTCTTCGTCAGTGGAGAGGAGACCTCTAGCGCCTGAGGACACCAGCAAAAACAACTTGAGGGTTATTTGAGGCTCTTCATAACTTAGAGCTAGGGTTCAATGACCTGATACCTGCATATTACCCAGTCATCTCCGAATCTGCCAATGTCCTGTGCTATACTTCAAGCAAGAATAATCCTCCATAATAGCAGCTCTCAAACCTTCATCCACATAACACCAACGTTCTATTTCATACATATTCAGCTATAATTAAAGGACAACTTTGATTGTTGATGAGCTGAAACCAATCACAGCTTATTACACCTCTGGAGGCCCATTCACACAAGCCAGTGTATTGTGTTGTGATAAGGCAGCGCCTTCATGGACACCACAATTGACCAGAAAACAGATATAAGCTGTTTCTACCAACACAGCTAACCACATGCATGATAGTCCGTTACCAAGCATTGCAATATATGTGCATTCCCTTAGTGCGTTGGGGTGCCACTGAAACGAATGGCAGAGCAACACACTAGCAGGTGTACGGGCCCTTGGCGATTCCAGAGGGTGGAAATCTCCACCAGAGTTTTCAGCTTCCACAGAAACTGCAACCCAAATGGGGGAATCAGGCTTCCATGATGGATTGGCCTCCACGAAGACACCAAATGCAAAAAGGCAACATCATCCATTTAAAGGGGCAGAGAGACAAAACACTGCAAGAAATTCTTACCATAGGAATTAGTGAAATGGAGGAAATCAGCAGCTGAATCAGTTCACCATGGCCTACACAGCTCTGTATTGTTGTATTTCTTGTTATTGTATTATTATAATACAGGATTTATATAGTGCCAACAGATTGTGTAGCACTTTACAAAGACAGAGGCTGGAGAAGGTGCTGCTATATGGAATCTTACTAGAGCAAGGGATGTGTACTGCAGGCTACTCCCATATTCATTCATGTGGTAGTCTGTGATAGGTTGGTGATCTGTTAACCCCTGTCCTACCTTAGAGCTGCTAGCACCAGGATCCCCCTTTGGAGAAGAATCCGAAACGGTAGCAGCCCTCTCAGATACACTACTCGGCTGTGAGGCCGCTTGAAGGGGAACGTGCGGCCCAGAACATGAAGGAACTGCCACCGCATGGCTACCAGTCATATCTGCATCCTGTATCACCGTGCGGAATGACTGAAGGGTTGACAATTTCTTCTCGCATGGAATCCATCAGATTTTTAAACATGCAGGAAGATTCATCCTTGACCCGTTTTCTAATGCAAGACTGGCACAGGGTCTTTTGGATGTGGGGAAAAACTTTACACAGCATTGTGCACAATTCTTATTGCCAGATTGATTTGCTGCAGTTGTTTTCTGCAAAACAAAAATGACACCGTTAAAAAAACAGCAATCTTCCAACTTGTGTCAACCCCATTTCTCATGCCCCCAAACACTGAGAAATAACCGGTAAAGGAAATGGGGAACTCCCCCTCTCTTACCTTAGAGCTGCCGGCACCAGGATCCCCCAGATCAAATGGTGCCATTGTGGTAGTTGAGTCTCCAGCTGGGCCCCCTGGCCCCTCCGACTCCAGCTCTTGCGCCCCACTATTGGTGCCCCCCCTTGCTGTATGGGGGTCACAGACTATTCATGGAGAGTCATCTCTGTATGGTGGTCACAGACTATTCATGGAGAGAGTCATCTCTGTATGGGGGGTCACAGACTATTCATGGATGGAGTCATCTCTGTATGGGGGTCACAGACTATTCATGGAGGGAGTCATCTCTGTATGGGGGGTCACAGACTATTCATGGATGGAGTCATCCCTGTATGGGGGGTCACAGACTATTCATGGAGAGAGTCATCTCTGTATGGGGGGTCACAGACTATTCATGGAGGGAGTCATCTCTGTATGGGGGTCACAGACTATTCATGGAGGGAGTCATCTCTATTACCTGAAAATTGTTCCATGAAGACGTGTCTGAAGCCTGTACAGGAGGTGCAGGGTCATTTAAACCTAAGCGATAAGAGCAGACATGAGAAATGAACTGTAGGTTTTAGAGCCATTAATGATCACAGGAAAAGCTATGACTTATATTTTTTTCTCTTTTGTTGGAATGTGTGTTTTACTGGAATTGGGGCACATAATTATAGCACTGGCCACATTTTGATGCCATGCCTGCAACCGTGAACAGATAGGGGCCGATTAACAAATCTTGCACCCAGACCTAGTTTGGCCGAATACTGTTTGCACAGCATTCCTGCCACCAAATAAAGCTGAGGAGCATAGTCAATTCCTAAATGATAAATTAGCCTCTTAGTGTTGGGCTACATTTAAAGAAAATGTGTGATGGATGATAATGAGCAGAGGTAAGAACAGGCCCAGAATTAAAGCAACAATCCAGTTAAAACTGGTAATGAAGCTTTGGAGGGGACACTATTATTTGCTCAGGAATTTGATATTTTATTCAAATACTCCTGTAGTGCGGAAGTCCACATTCCTTATTGCTTGTATGATCTGGCAACACCAGTTTCAAAGCCAAGAGAAATTCCTGATTACCTACACTCAGAGAGGAAGAGCAGCAAAAAAAATGGCAAACACAGTAAAAGCTGGAGTAAACCAAAATGTGACTGCAATGTCTCTGGGTGGAGAATTGTGCAGGTGCCAGATTTCCTGACGAGCATTAGCAGTGGACTCACTTCACCTCCTGCCTGGATTGAGGCCAGAAGAATAAAAAGTCATGGCTGAAGCAAAGGTCTTGTGTAGTGCTTTGGGTATTGTTTCTACAACAATGTTGTTCCAGGTAGTTGGCACTTGTATTAGGGTTCAGAGGAGACAGTCAAAATGTTTCAGATAAGTTAGGTTCCTTACCAAGTGACATGAGCTCATCATCAAGCAGCGATAATGATGTGGAGGCTGATGAAGGGGCACTGGAAGAATATGGCAGGGGCTGGGCTGGAACAGAGGGGTATGAAGGCGCTGCTGTAGATGCCATATCCAGTCCTGACAGATCCAGCAGAGCAGAAGAACTGGCTGAAAGAGGACAAGATATTCATGTAGAGATCTGACATCACTCAGACAGACTAGTAAGAAGTGCAATCTCTGCTCACCTGGCATATTGTTGGAAGACGTCTCTCCATTGATTTCTTCCCCTTTCACCAGCTGGCGATAAGTATTTATAACCTGTGTTAAGCTGTCATTAGCCTGTAAAATTTCCGCTTGAAAAAAAACAAGAATGTTACTGATGTGGATTTAGGATATTCAGTCACAAGATCTCTTATTGTTTACAAATTCAAAAAAGCCAAAAGCCAACATTTTCCAAAGTTTTTCACCACTCAGCACTTATGATCATTTGCTCTTGGTCAGTCAGAAATAGACAAGCAGATCTCCAAGTATGAAATAATTCCCCAAAGGCTTCTTACCTAAGGCCTCATCATTGTCTTCTGTGTCACTGGCCAAACGGAAAAGTGTAGGCCTCATCTTCTCACATTTCTGGTACAGCTCCTGCCCAATGAAGAGGAAAACAAGTCATGGTAAAAGGTATTGTCAGTTGGGCGATGCCTGGTGTGATCCCACATTGCTCACCTTCATTAAGTCTTCACTTCCCTCAGATGATTGTCCAGCTCTGTACGTATTCAACATCTCACCCAGGAGCTTCACATTGTTATTTACCTCTTCTATAGCATTTACACGCTTGGATATTTTCTCCATGCGTTTCTGATCCTGCCAAAAGTAAGGAAGCAGAATGCGTTATACATTCTTCCTGAATCTCGACTACAATATATAATTCCACACATGTAGAATTCAATACTTTAAGATGGCTGTTGTATGAATTGCAAAGGAACACAACCACTAACTCCAAGTTGTCTGTGCTCATTACTGCTTACCTCTTGCACCATTTCTTTAATGAGCTTGTTGGCAGCTCGTAAATCTTCAGGGTGAGTGCTCTTCAACAGGCGCGCCAACATCTGCCAGAAAGAGGACAGAGACTGTTTAAATAACTTGTTTGTGGCAACACTAAAAGGTCATTACCAGGTCTGGATAGAACACAAGTTCAGCACAGTGACTTAAAGAGAACTATGGGGTAAGTGGTTTTCCTCATAGTTCTTTAGGGTCACGGGAGGACATATACTAACCTCCTCCCGTGACCCAAAGCTCAGTATATAGCTCGCTATTGCTCACTATATACTGAGAGCGCCGCAGCCGGGACGGATACCGACAATACTGTCGTGATCCACCCAGCTGTGTGAGTGACAGCTAGCTCTGCCTATCTAGAGGCAGAGCCAGCTGTGCCCACCCCCTCCCCCGTTCAGTCCTCCACTCATCGCTGGAGGATCAGAGAGGGGGGGGGGGGGAATCCCTGTGGGGAGCGGTCACTGACAGTCACCACTCTCTGCAGGGAGATGATCGGGAAGTGAGCGAATCGGTGCATGTTTCTGCTCACCTTGAGGGCAGGGACTGATATGAATCTACATTATGCAAAGCACTATGTCAATTATTGCTATATAAATGCCTGTAATAAATTCGTTGCTAGCCTTTATGCAATTGTAATAGCTTTCTAGGACCAAACCTGCCCGTTGACTGGAATTTATTCAAGGTCTCATTTGCATATCAGTTATGCTAAAATCTTAAATGATGAATGTCTGTATTTGAGTATTAATAACCAGATACTACATACTCCTTGCCAAATATGCTCCAAATGTAACTCCAAGTTGTAACACAATGATAGACTCCCAATATGTTTCCTTTGAAACGAGAAGGAACGTCTTACTCGGCAACACTCTACTTGGGCCTCATGTATCCTCTCTGGATTCTCCATCCAGCCAGCCATAAGCTATTTGAATGATGGTGTTTCTCACCCTCCTATGGCTCCAAGGCTATATTCTATGTTCTTGCCTTTTTATATACTGTATATCTTGTGGGATTGTGTTTAACCAAAAGACCCCCCCCCCCCCCTCCCTCTTAGGGCTAGTTTTCCCAAGCAGACCATTAGGGTTACTCATGGTTTGGTTTCCTTGTCTAGTTTTCATCTACTGATCATACCTTTGGCCATACAAGGGGTGCACTGATAAAAGTCTGTAGTGTGGCAAGCCTTGAAAAGCATATGGATGACAGAGTCTGGTAGATCTCTGTCTCTCAAGGTCTGGGCTATCACAGTCAAGTTGTTAAAGTCAGCATCTGAGAAGCAGGATAGTAAATCAGTCATTGAGACAGAAGGTCAGGACAATCCAGGAGGGCCTACAGCAGGGGCGCCCATTAGGTCGATTGTGATCTACCGGTCGATCGCAAAGCGAACACTGGTAGATCGCGATCGGCTCACTGACCTGTGTTCTGTCATCCCACGGTGCTCGTGCGGCTGAATTCGTCAAGACGCCATAGGCGGGATACCTCTCCCAGTCTGCACATTTGGCCACACGAGCACCACGGAAGGACCGGACACCACACCTCAGAGGAGACCCAGTAAGCTGCTGGAGTGCATGTAAGAAAAGACAGCCAGAAGAGAGCAGAGAAGAGAGCAGAGAAGAGAGATAGCAGAGCGAGAGAGAAGAGAGACAGCCAAGAGCGAGAGAAGAGACAGCCAAGAGAGGGCCAGTTCACACCACAAAGTCTGCGTTCCAGAGCGTTCGGCCTCTGCAATGCAAGCCGACCGGCTCCCTGTGGGAGGTGCGTGGTGCTGCATTGAGGTCAATGTCAAAGCTGCCAAGACCCCTGCCCACCGTGCAATCGCCCGCACCTGGGATGCAGGCACATCAGTGCTTGCGTTCCATTCCAGTGCAACCAGAAAAAATCATGCTTGCAGCATTTTTGCAGATCGCACTGGACCGGAACGCAGGCACTGATGTGCCTGCGTTCCAGGTGCGGGTGATAAACGGCGTGCAAGGGGCATGGCTGTGGTGCCACTGACTTCAATGCACCGCCACGCCCCTGAACGCAGGGAAAAGGCAGGCTTGCATTCCAGAGCGTTCGGCTTTTGTGGTTTGAACCGGCCCAGAGAGAGAGGCAGTAGTCCCAGTAGCGATTTTAATGTGCTTGTTTTCTAAATAATGGTGTTTTTTCGCTGGTCGATCTCATTGAGCTCGTCATTTGAAAAGTAGATCTCCAGAGGAAAAAATTTGGGCACCCCTGGCCTACAGAGAGCCCACCAGGAGCCTGACCTCATCACCCTAAGGCATTAATCAGGTTGAACAGAGAATTCCCGGGCCTGGCAACAAACCTGTCAAGGTAGTGGGAGGGTAACTAAGTGCAGACACTGGACCATACAAAACTGATACCAGGCTAACTACAGGAATTCAGACTTTACATATAATAAGTCTCTTCTATGGGAGTGAGAGAAAAACGTCATCATGTCCTGAACTGTAATAATTACCTTGGATTTCTCATCATCATCAAAAATAGCATTCTTAGGTCTTGGTGGAAGAGGTGGTATCATTGCTTCTTCTGGCAATTTGGGGTCTTCCTTTAAAATCCCTAAAAAGAAAAAGATGGTGACATGGCGTCTTGTCAGGGGGCTGAACTCAGAGTGCCATTATTATTTATCAGCTGACCTTGTTTCTTCAGCATCTGGTAGGCCTCTGCAATCTTCACTTCATTGGGGAGCCCCAATGTCCAACTGTACAGCAACTCCAAAATCTTCTGCTTCACTCTTTCTGGAGAGCGTGTACCGAGGTACTGAGGAGAAACAGAGGATCATCATCACAATGACTGAGGAATAACAGAGGACCACCATCACAATGACTGAGGAATAACAGAGGACCATCATCACAATAACTGAGGAATAACAGGAGGACCACCATCACAATGACTGAGGAATAACAGAGGACCACCATCACAATGACTGAGGAATAACAGAGGACCACCATCACAATGACTGAGGAATAACAGAGGACCACCATCACAATGACTGAGGAATAACAGAGGACCACCATCACAA